TTATTTTTTTTGCCCATTTGCTTTTACTCTAAAGGTGCATCTGTCACTTATTGCTACAAAACAGCCTCAACAGCGTTGTTGTAAACATGGTTTTTAAACATCTTGTCTTTTTGGTCTGACTTGCATCATCTAAGAGTCTAAAGATTTTTTTTACAGCAGAATATCGTGTTTGATCTGCATCAGATCCATCAGTGATTGAGAGAACACTGATTAGCTCTTATAGCTGTGCAGTAAATGAGCTGTGTGTGGTGATGTGATGTTAGCTGTGTTGCTTTTCACTTCAGGATTGTTTAGGTGATTCTGTTTCAAAGAAGAAAAAAACTTTAACAAGATAAGGCAATCAAAAAAAAAAAAAGAGTTCTGCAGCATATTGTAAGTGGGGAAATGACTTTTCTGTTGGACAAAAATGATTGATTTGCAGCAATAAAAATTCTTGAAATGTAATTTAGTTGTGACGTGGGTTGTACTTGTTCCTTGATAGTGGGTGGAGAGTGCTTGAGATGACTGCCATCACAAACTGTTAAATACTGGACCTTTAGGTGCTTATTTAAAAGCCTAAAAGTAAAGAAGTCTATAAAAGTTCGTCAAATTGTATTTTTGTGTGTTTAAAACCCATTAAACATGCCTAATTGAGCAGTAACAATAATATAAAAACTGGACAATAATGAACTGTCTTCAACATAAGGAGACGCAGCAGGGGCTTTTTATTGTCATTGTTTAGGTGCATCATGTCCTATATACTGGGAGTTTGCAGACATTTCACAGAATATTCGATATTAACTTGGTTCAGGCTTTGAATGTCATGTTGATGATTTTTATAATTATTGTGTTTTTTTGCAGATCTATCAGCGGCTGGCAGAAGAGGCAAGCAATGGAGTGGAAGAGACCCAAGACAAGTGTATAACTTTCCTGAGAAAGTTCAGGAACTATCTGTCAAAGATCTACAATGCCAATGCAGATGATATCGATAAGGTTAGTTCCTATGTTTTGATTTGGAATTTTAATTACACTTTGGGCAATTTTACCTCATGCTTTTACTTCTTGGTTTGAACCCTGCAGTTGCTGTAATCTTTATTTTTGTATCCCAGCTTCCTGTGTCCATGGAGGAGGTGGTGGACCTCCTGAATGATGTAAACCAGCAACTCGGGGAGACTGGGGAGGACATGGATGAAGAGAATGAGAAAGAGATGGAGCGTCAAAGAGCACTCGCTCACTCCAGCCCGGCTCATCCCGCAGAAATCAGTGCAGCTATTTCCCACATCAAGTTTTCTACTCCTTCTCCAAACAAAAGCATTGTTTCTCCTTCTAAAAGACTGGTGAATCCATATTATGGGATAATATTTAGATTTGTTTCTCATTGTGTTTATCACAGCTCATAAATCTGAGTTTCATTACATTTTTTTTTTAGCTCTCACCAAAGACCCCACCTCATTGGGTTGAGGACCAGAAAAGTCTCCTTCAGATGCTCTGTCAGCAGGTTGAAGCTCTCAAGGTCAGAATTAGATTAAGCACTTCAGTTGCATGACTTGTCTGAGCTTTACCATCTTTTCAGCTGCTTTTGAAGCCCATTCACCCCACTATCTGTAACAACACTACAGAACTATGTTTTATAGATGATTTCAACCCATGTATTCACACCTTTTAAAGAAAATTGTTGAGTAAACTGTTGGCCCAAATACAACCACCATAACACCAAGGGTGTTTCAAGCTCTTTTTGTCAGTCAAGTTCAAAACTAAATTATGTTCCCATCTTTATAAATATTATATTTACCCTGTTTCTTCTTCTTTTATGTAAGTTAATTGGTAGAAAAATCACCTCATCTCAATTCCAAGATATTATTAAGCTAAGATTACGTTTTTCTTTGTAAAATTTGCTCGTCCCAGTCTTTTCTGCGCAATGTACAGCAGTAGGAGGACTTTTGAGTCTATTCTGAAGTTGTTTGAGATCACAGCTCATGCTTGTTGTCTCTAGTTGTCGTAGTTTGTTTCATTCAATTCAATTCAAAAATACTTTATTAATCCCAGAGGGAAATTAAATGTTGTAGCTCATTTTCCTTGTTTCATAAAAGAGTTGTTCTAGATGTTGATGGTTGTGGGCGGGAAGGATCTCTTGTGATGGTTCGTCTTATAGCAGATCTGAAAAAACTGGCCACAGATGTTGATCCGTTTACTTGCACTTGGTTGGCTTCCTGGGCTTCAGGATCACCTGAATGTTGGGCAGAAATCCTCCCAGGGCAATGGTCACTCCTCCCAGCAGCTTGTTAGCATCATTAGCATCATTCTCCATTTGGATGAGCCTTCAGTCAATAGTCAGCTCTAGATAACTGTTGTTTGTTACTATATTTATTCATTAAGCTACCATTTTGCAGAATGAGGTTCATGATCTGAAACACAACGCTTCAGTGAACGCAGGTTCTCCTCATCATAAGTTATTTGGGGAAGGCTACAGGGCAGAAGGCTTGCAGGATTCTTTTACCCCTGTCCAGTCCTATCATGGAGCCCCTCTAACAGGTGAGTCTTTCACATAAATCTAAATATAAAACGTCAACAAATGTATACTGCCTACAGTTTATTTACCTGCTTTCCTCTTTCTAAAGTTGCCACTACAGGTTCCTCTCTGTATTACAACCAATCTCCAGCTTATAACTCTCAGTATCTTTTGCGCACAGCAGCAAATGTAACCCCGACCAAGGTAATTCTAATCCTCTATCACTGGTTTATAGAAGTAAAGTTGTTTAGACTGTTAAACGGTATTTATTTTTTGTTCTTCTGTTTACACAGGGTTTATTGTATGGTGTGAACCGTATGCCACCCCAACAGCACATGTATTCCTACCAGCCACCCACTCACACACCTCCATTGCAGACAACCCCAGCTTGCATCTACCCTCCACAGGAGCAAGCGTTTGGCGCCCCTCTACGATTTGACTCACCAGCCACAAGCCTTCTTTCCCCGTACAGTGAAGATTATTATGGCCAGAGTGTTTCCCAACAAACCACTAACCCGTCTCTGCCTGAACCAGGTTACTTCACCCAGCCAGCTGTAGTCCCTATTCAACCACCAAAGAGTGTAGAGGGGAAGTCTGTGGACTTTGGAAAGCTTTCCTTCAACCAGCAAGCTCCTTCTGAAGTTCCCAGGGTATCAAGTTTTGGTGCAGGACCAGCTGCCCAGTCTACACCTTCAACCGCTTTTAAATTTAACTCTAATTTTAAATCCAATGATGGAGATTTTACTTTCTCAGCTTCTCAAGCTAAGCACAGCGAGAGTTTGCTTGGGCTACTCACATCAGACATTCCCTCAAAAGCTGATGCAGTTCCAGAAAAGCCCCCAGCCCAGGAGCAGCCCTCCAGCCAAACTAACATTTTCACCTTTGGCAATAAAAGTGTCTCCAGCTTCTCGTTCACTGATTCCACACAAAACACCGGAAGCTTTTTTGGAAAGGTGGAGCAGCCATTTAAATTTGGTGATGTGACTAAACCAGTGTTTGGCCTCGGCAAGAGTATGGAGCAGGATAAACCAGCTGAGAGTGACCTTGATAGCACACGTGGTGAGGAAGATGAGGATGGTCCTCACTTTGAACCCATTGTACCTCTTCCTGACAAAGTAGATGTGAAAACGGGTGAGGAAGAGGAGGAGGAAATTTTTTGCAACAGGGCAAAGCTGTATCGATTTGACACGGAGACAAAAGAGTGGAAAGAACGAGGCATTGGCAACGTTAAAATCTTGAAGCACAACGCTAATAGGAAGGTCCGTCTCTTGATGAGACGGGAACAAGTTCTTAAAATCTGTGCAAATCACTATATCACTGCTGACATGCTGCTGAAACCAAATGCTGGCTCTGACAAATCCTGGGTGTGGAATGCCATTGATTATGCAGATGAAGAGCCTAAACCGGAACAACTGGCCATTCGCTTCAAAACAGTAGATGAGGCTGCTCTTTTCAAATCGAAGTTTGAGGAAGCCCAGAGGGTTGTTACCCAATCACCTGAAAAACAAACTCCACAAGAGAAAAAGGAAAGTTCCAAGGCCTCGAAGTCACTAGCAGCCCAGTTTGCACTCAAAGAAGGAGAATGGGAGTGCTCTGTGTGCTGTGTAAGAAATAAACCCACCGATATGCAATGTGTGGCTTGTCAACATGCCAGTCCTCAATCTTCAGCAAAACCAGAAGTTCAGGCTGCTGGGGAAACCAAATCAAGCCCATTCACGTTCAAATTTGGTACCGATTCATCAAAGCCAAGCAGTTCTGGCTCTACATTTTCTGGATTTAGTGCTTTTGGAGCCTCTATACCATCCTCGTTTAAATTTGGCACCAGCTCCACAAAACCTGCAGACACAAAAACCAGTGCATTCTCTTTCGGCTTTGGATCACAGTTTGGTAAAAAGCCAGAGCAGTGGGACTGTAACAAGTGTTCTGCAAAAAATGAAGCCTCCACAGACAGTTGCATTTCATGCAAGGCTCTTAAAACTGCAATTAAAACATCTGTGATAGCACAAGTTACCCCTGCTGCAGTTGCACCTGCAGCACAGCCTTCTGTGTCTGTCAGTGACTCTGGATTTGGTGCACAGTTCAGTAAGAAGCCTGGACAGTGGGATTGTGAGGTATGTGAAGTGAGAAACGAAGAATCTGCTGACAAATGTGTTGCCTGTCAAAGTCTAAACCCTGCAGCAAAATCTACCGGTGGGGCTCCAGTAGCATCAAGTATGCCAGCAGTGTCAGCATTTGGGTCTGAGTTTGCTAATAAAGACGATCAGTGGGATTGCAATGCCTGCCTGGTCAGAAATAAAGCATCTGCTACCGAATGCATTTCCTGCCATGCTCCACACGAAACTCCCTCTTTAGCAGCCATGTTTGCCATGAAGGAAGGAGAATGGAACTGTGACACTTGTCTTGTCAGAAACAAAGCCTCTACTGACAAATGTGTGGCCTGTCAGGCTCCAAATCCTAATGTTAAAAGCACAAGCAGTTCTGCTTCCTCTGCCTTCAGTTTTTCCTTTGGAACCAAGAGCGCATCAAGCCAACCTTCTGTAACTGCATTCACGGTGCCTTTTGGAAGTGGCAGCACTTTTCAGTTTGGTGAAAACAAAAACTCAGATGCTTCTTTCAAGCTTGAAACTCCTCAGGCTGCACCTACTACCACCACAAGTTCTGCAGGCTTCTCTTTCTCAATGCCCATTCCAGCTGGTGACTTCAAGTTTGGCATTCAGGACACAACAAAAGACTCGGCTTCATCCGATGATCAAACACCATCAGGGTCGGCCTCTAGTCTCCTTAAAACCATCGCTGACAAACATAAAGAGAAAGAAAATGTGACTGTATCTTCTGCGATCCAACCAGAAAAAGAAGAGAATCCATTAATTGCTGGGAAAGGTAATGCATTCAGCTTTGCAGACTTGGCAAAATCCTCTGGAGGGAGCTTCCAGTTTGGCACAAAAGATCCTGATTTCAAAGGTTTCTCTGGGGCTGGAGAACAGGTGTTCTCATCACTACAGGAAACCCCCACCAAGGCAGAAACCTCCAAGAATCAGGAAGATGATGGGATGTATAAAACAGAGGATCATGATGATATCCAGTTTGAACCAGTGGTCCAGATTCCTGAGAAGGTGGACCTTGTAACTGGTGAGGAAGATGAACAGGTTCTGTACTCGCAGCGCGTCAAACTCTTCAGATTTGACACCGCCACCAGTCAGTGGAAAGAACGTGGTGTGGGAACTCTCAAATTCCTAAAGAATGACACCAACGGGCGACTAAGGGTACTGATGAGACGAGAACAAGTTCTGAAGGTTTGTGCCAACCACTGGATCACCACCACCATGAACCTTAAGCCCCTGGCAGGTTCAGACAAAGCATGGATTTGGATGGCCAATGACTTCTCTGATGGAGACGCTAAGCTTGAACAGCTGGCTGCCAAATTTAAAACTACAGAGCTCGCTGAAGAGTTTAAGCAGAAGTTTGAAGAGTGCCAGCGGCTTCTCTTAGATATTCCCCTGCAAACCCCCCACAAACTGGTAGACACTGGCAGAACAGCACACCTCATTAAGAAAGCGGAGGAAATGAAGTCCGGTTTGAAAGACTTGAAATTGTTTTTGACAGATGACAAAACGAAGATCAAAGATGACGACACTCAGGGAGACGTTACAACCTCCGGTGATGTTTCAGGTCTTGCCATCAAGCCTCATGGTGAAACCACCGGTCCTTCCTTGGAGTGGGACAACTATGACTTAAGAGAAGGAGCTATAGACGATACTGCTGATTCATCGGTTTATGCTACCCCTGTTTCCAGCAGTCCCTTAAGAAAGAACCTTTTCCGCTTTGGAGAATCTACTGGGGGCTTTAGCTTTAGTTTTCAGCCTGGCATCAGCCCTTCCAAGTCTCCTGCAAAACTCAACCTGAGCAGAGTCTCAGTGGGTACAGATGAGGAGCAGGATAACACTCAGGACGAAGAACGGGATGGTCAGTACTTTGAACCTGTGGTCCCTTTGCCTGATTTGGTTGAGATCTCTACAGGAGAGGAGAATGAGCAGGTGGTTTTCAGCTACAGAGCCAAACTGTATCGCTACGACAAAGAAGTGAAACAATGGAAAGAAAGGGGCATCGGAGACTTAAAAGTCTTACAGAATTACAGCACTAAACGAGTCAGGCTGATCATGAGGAGAGACCAGGTACTGAAGATCTGTTCTAACCACTGGATCACGGAGATGATGAAGCTGGAACCCATGAAGGGGACCGAGAAGGCCTGGGTCTGGAGCGCCTTGGACTTTGCAGAGGAAGGAGAAGGTAAAATGGAGCAGCTGGCTGTGAGGTTCAAACTGCAGGAAACGGCGAACACGTTTAAACAGGTCTTTGAAGAGGCCAAGGTGGCACAAGAGAAGGGGGAACTGATGACTCCTGTGACGTTACGAACTGCTGCACCACAAGACAGCGCAGCAGCAGCACCTGAAAGCACGGCCACCGCTGTTTGTGGGGCAGCAGCAATCGCTGTTCTAGAGGAAACGACCAGAGAACGATCAGAGCCACCTTCTGATGTTGGACCCAGTGCAGCAGGATCTCCGAGCCCAATTAATCCTTTAAAGGCTGTAGTGTCGCCCCCCAAGTTTGTCTTTGGCACCGATAGCCTCCAGAAGATTTTTGGGACTCAAAGAACTCTCTCAGAAACTCCAACATCTGCATCAGGTTTGAAAACCGCAGAGGCTGAAAGTTCAGTAAAGCACACATCTGCTGCTCCTGCATTCAAGATGAGCACAGGTAATAAAAGATTTCACATTAAATATTTTTATTTTCACTGAATATGAAAAAAATTGTGGACATTTTATGGTCTATCTTGTTCCATCTGCATCTCATTGTTCAATGATTGTATTTGGCACCAACTCCTCACCAAATTATCTGGGCAGAATCTAAAAAAGTTAAGTTGGTTCCTCAGGGCGAGTTCAAAAAGCAAAAAAATTATAGAAACGTTTTATCTTTCAGACTGAAGAAGTCTTTCAGATGAAAGGCGAAACGTTTCTACGTTTTTTTTTGTTTGTTTTTTGAGCCCGTCCAGAGGACCTGACTTAACTTTTTTGGAGTTATTGATCATGCATCAGGATATCTGGGCAGAATTTGCCATAAAATCAGTTTCCATTTCCTGTCTGTGTAGCCAGTTAAATGTGCTAATACATGAGGTGTATATTCATAGTTTAAAATGTGACCAACTAATATGGATGTACTGAACTCTTAGGCATTCATTACAAATCAGTACTTGAACTCCGTTAAAACAGAACATATATTTTACGTTTGAGCAGTGGTGGCGTTATTTTTATTATACCAGCCTCATAATTAGTTTCTCTTCGCCTGAATACCCATCATCCTTCAGGGCTGGATTTTAGGCTTTTCAAAGATAACCCAATGGCTTTTTGGACCAACACATCCACCGGCCAATTTGAAACCCCAGGTACTCTAATTAATGCAGTGTGTGTTAACACCTCTCAGCTGTCACCTGGCTGACCCTACTGCTACTAGAAAAACAATAACCTGGATGCACGGAGTGGGGAAAGAAAACGGAAGCTAATGTGTTGCATGTTGTTTGTTGTAGCACTTATGTAACAATGTGCATAAACAAATTATTAACAAAACTACTGTATATAAACATAAATGTGTGTTTTTTTTAGCTGCAGTTTAAAGGGAGTGATGATGGAAGGTGTGTAAAGTTGCAAACTTCTTGGAAGACAATGTAGAAAAAGAAAAATAGTTTTTTTTTTTTTTTATTGCTTTGGTATTTGCATTTAAATTTTTTTGTTTGTTTGTTTGCTAGTATCATGGTGGTAGTTTACCTTAATGGTTCCAAACCTTTTAATCTCTAGGGCAAATGTTTATTTATCTTAATTTTAATGGTAAACCAGTTCTATCAGCATCATCCGTATGAACTGGGTGCCTTCTGAAAGGTGAGCTGAGAGCAGAGGATGTTCCTTCATCGAGCCATGCACTGTGCAAACGTCACACGTGCCATTTTTAGCCCTGGAAGTGTAGCAACGGCATGAAATGTAATTCCCTTCCCTGGAAGACATTTGCCACTGATCTGCACATCAGCAGAGGTTAGTTGGGGCTAAATCTCAAGTATTTAGGAAGGTTAGTGTTGCTCCACTAAAAACAAACAGCAAAAAAATGCTGTTTTATTACAAGTTGTTCCTCACTTTTGTAAATCTCATGCATGCCATTTATTGTTGTGCATGAGATTTGTTTTGTGTGTGAGAGTGTATCTAACACTTCAAGATAACAAATCAAATTGATTTTTCGTACTTCCAAGAGGTATCCAGTTTTAATATGTTCTGCTTTCATTGTTTTCTCCATCACAGCCCCCCTTCAGGCAGCAGGAGGCAGCCCGGGGTCAGATGAGAGCTCTGATGTGGAGATTGTTTATGTCAAGGAGCCCACTGCTGAACAGGCAGCTTTAGCCAGAAAGCTCCTGCTGCCTCTCACCTTCTTCTGCTACAAGAACGAGCCAGGCTACACCAGCAACGATGAAACAGATGGTGAGGAACTAACAAGAAATGATGGATCTAGTTGATTGGAACTACAGTTATTGAGCTCCTTAAGCACCTGACTTGAACATGTCACATTAATCAGTTGTATACTTTCAATTTTATTAACATTTTGGCATATTTAACACAATCTGTATCCACCTTGTGAAAACAAAAAATATCATTTATTCCACAGTTTAATTTTTCCAGTATTTACAGAAACCTTTTTAAACCATCCTTGGTTATGAACGTGACATATTTGCCATGTGCAATTATTTATTTAATAAAAATCTGTTGCCATTTGACTTATGAGTGACAATGCTAATCTTTACAATAAACGTAATGTCTTCAGTCAATTGAAATGCACTGTATTTTAAGTATTGCCATAGAACAAAGTTTATACTTGAAAAGATTTGTCTTTTAAAGTGAGGTTAAAAGGTGAAATTTATAGTTGTTTTTATTTCTAGATGAGGACTATGAGTCGGCAGTGAGAGCCTTGAATGGAAAACTGTACCCTGATCCTCATGAGGCTGCAGCTTGTAGTGAGGGTAAGTGTAAAACAACCTGTTATTTCACCTACATTAAACGCATCAATTAGAAGTTTTTGGTTTTAAATATGTGGCTCAAAAAACCCAGACTAATTTTAAACATGATGGTCTTTTATGTTCCAGTTGTTTCCTCGCACGAAGCTTGTGCTCTGCTCTCAGAGTCAGACTGTCAGGTTGTGTGGGAGAAGAAACCAACACCAGAGGAGGAGGAGAAGGCAAAAAGTCTCCAGCTTCCACCCACGTTCTTCTGTGGCCTGAGCACCATGGACAGTGACCCTGACGGTGACAAGCCTGAAGACTTTGAGACGGAGGTCTGCAAAGCACACCAAGACCTGGTATGAACTCCGCTGTCTGAGTCAGCGCTGAGCTCAACTCAAACTTATGAAAGCAGATATCATCTACGAACAGGTTGCATAATGTTTATTAGCAACTATTTGTTGGGACTGTTATACGCAACATACTGCAAGATGTGTGCGGTACGAGTACAATATTTAGGGTCAACTCATAAATATGCAAAATAGATGTTTGTAACATTTTTGTTTTTAAGCCTCAGAGATTCGAGAAGGTCTGTTCTAATACTGATATTTGTGGTCGGAGTTAAAATTCTATAAAAATATGAACTGAGCGAATAATCTTAACAAAAAGGGAGTGGACCTCGTGTTTCCAAATAACTTAAGTTTGTGAGTAAACTAAAATACACTCATCTTTAACATTTGAGATGGGTTGAACAATTTTTCCTAATTTTATAGCACAAGATAACCTGTTGCATTAAACATTGGTGAGCCATAACAATATGACCACTGATGAATGACATTACATTTTCACCATATTAGCAACTGACTGTGAGCAGGAAATTAAAGATGCAACTCAACAATCTCTTTTTTTTAGGTTTATGTTGAGTTTAAGTATTTAGGCAACTTTAACAAATATCAACCAACAATTTTCCTGATGCAATTCTCCAGATCACAACCTACTTCAGGTGGATGTGTTAAAACAAATCTGATCCCTTTGCAACCGAAATCATTTGGTGTTTGCAGTTGACAGCTTGGTGCCACATACTACAGCGGACCCTCAGAGGTTTGGTCTTTCACCACGTCGGGGTCGTGAAAACTGTTGTAGCAGCAAAAAATGGCTTTATCTCAGCTGTTCCTCATTTTATTTGTTTTTGAGGAATAGACAGATTTTACACAAGTAACGTGGAGAAGAATACGTTCATGCAGTCGATGAATAACGTGGGTCGAATTTGTTACAGGTTGCTCAGTTAAAAGGAGCTGAACCGGACTCTAGCAGTCCTGCAAGCCCCTCAGAAGAACCGACCTCAGCCCCGTCATCCAGCAGTGCGGAGGCTTCAGGTATCAGGTCTACATCAGATGAACAAACCTCAGACAAGCCAGCAGAGACTCTGAGTGAAACTCCCAGCAGCAGTTTCCCCATCGACCTGTCAACTAAGAAGAGTCCAGAACCGAAGACTAAAACGGAGACGGACGCTGCTGCTTCATCTACTACAACAACCGGGCAAGGTACCGAGGCCGTTTAACAGTCAGAATTTATACGTCACATTTGGTCTGCAAAGCTTCGAATAATGTGTTTAACAAAAAAAAAAAGAACCATCTCAGCAAAAATTATCTCCAGGGGCCTGATGGAAATTTTAAAGCAGTTGGAAAACTAACATAAAAACAATACTTACAGTAACTTTTGGAATAAAATTTGGCAAAACATTGTACTTGATATTGTTCTGATGTTTTTGTGGATTTATTTTTTCCTGAGGTGTTTTTATTTATTTATTTATTTATTGTTAAAAAGAGCCGAACACCTGACTTGTTTCGAAAACTTTATTGGTGTTTTATGAACAGATTTTTATGTTGTTGTAAAAATACAAATAGTGATTGTGCCACTGAATCATCTCGATCTTCTATACTTACTGAGCTCTTTTTAAAAAAAAAATACATTTCAGCTTCGCTCATGTTGCTGTTGAGCTGATTTCCTGCTTTATACAAAACTGAAAGCAGAAAACTATTCAGTGTTTAATAACTTTTTATTGTTGCAGACTCTTCTGCCTTTGGCTTCAGTTCTCTTGGAGGATTTTCTTTTGCTGACTTGGCTAAAAACACGGAGGGGTTTACATTTGGAACACAAGGTTGGTTTTTAGCATCGCATGTCTAGTTTTTACATTAATATATGTTATAATGATTGTATGCTCTGATTTTTCTCCTGACGTAGATGATAATTTCTCGTGGGTAAATGCTGGTGCAGTGGTTTTTGGAGCTTCTGGGTCCTCTGAGGCTAAAAGCGATGCCGACAAGGAGGGAAGTGATGAAGAGGAAGCTCCTAAAAACGTGGACATTCACTTTGAGCCTATTGTTTCTCTACCTGAGGTACTTGTTCTTGTTCTTTATTAAATTATTGAATGACTAAAGGGACAAATCTTCATCTTTGAGTGTTGTGTGCCTCTCAGGTGGAGACAAAGTCTGGAGAGGAGGACGAGGAAATCCTGTTTAAGAAGCGAGCCAAGCTGTACCGATGGGACCGCGACCTTGACCAATGGAAGGAACGCGGCACAGGCGACATCAAGATCCTCTTCCACCCAACCAAACATTTTTATCGAATCCTGATGAGAAGAGACCAGGTCATGAAGGTTTGTGCCAACCACACCATCTCCCCGTCCATGAAGATTAAACCCATGAATGCCATGGATAGTGCACTGGTCTGGACCGCCACAGACTACTCAGGTACACAAACTCATTTCTGCTCTGCTTGTGTTTCCATGCAGGTTCAGGCTGACATATTGTTTTTCCTCATTCTATTTATTCTTATTTTTTCTTAGATGGTGAAGGTATTGTGGAGCAGCTGGCAGCCAAGTTCAAAACTCCAGAAATCGCTGAATCCTTCAAGAAAACCTTCTGTGAATGTCAAATTCGTATGGGCCAAACCAGCGAGGACGGTTCAGGTGTCTTGTCGCAGATGTCCAGAGTCCAAGAGCACTCTAAAGAGACTAACCCTCGGGTGTTCCTCACAGTGGCTGCTGACGGCCAGCCTCTGGGCACCATCACTGTAGAGCTTTTCTCTAACGTTGTCCCCAAAACTGCAGAGAACTTCAGGGCTCTCTGCACTGGAGAGAAAGGCTTCGGACTGCGGGACTCCATCTTCCACAGGGTCATACCAGATTTTATGTGTCAGGTAAGGGAATTGTGCGTTTCAAGAGGTTTTTTTTTCTTGGCCGCACAAGTTTAGATTCAGCGAAGGTATTCATGACCTGAATTGGCTGTACTCGACATTACAACATTCACGAGAAGACAGATGGTTTGAGAGGGGGGCTGAAGGAAGCAATTTATGTAAAAAGAGAGAAACCATCTTTAAACAGAGAGAAACCATCTTTAAACCGAGGAGGAGGTGTCAGAGTTCAACTTTCAAAAACTTATAATGCAGCTTTTGGACCGATACCCAGCCAGTTTCACACCGATCAGGAATGTGGCCCATCTGTGAATTAGAGTAACAAAGACCTTAGCAAACTACTACTGTGAGGTGTGATAGGTCTGCGGCAGAGCTTTAGGGCCACGCTAAGGAAAAACAAATTAAATGCCATAAAATTACAAGAATAGTCGTAGAATTACGAGAATAAAGTCATACGAGACTTTTTTTTTTTTTTTTTTTTAACAGCTGTTGTTAATTTTTTTTTTTTTCCACGAGTCAGATCCACAATGCGACCTGTCAATCAATTCAGTAGGCGTGTCGGCAAATGACCAATCCGAAGCTAAATGCTCCTTACCAGCAGAGTGCTGGAACGTACCACTTTACTGTAAGCAGGTTCAAAGTACTGATAATAATCTGATGCTGTTGTGCTAACGGATTACAGTTTCTCTGGCTGAGCGCCGTTTTCAAACGGAAACAAAAATTAAAGTCACGGCGTAATGACATCACGCATCCCAGAAGCAGCATACAAAGACACAACAGTAGCTGGCAGTATTGCAACACATTTTGAGTAAGAGCATCAATAACAATAAAGTTTAACAAACATTCTTTATTTTACCACAGTTAAAATGCGGTAAACCTGCTTTATCATGTCGGAGTTTGGATAATATTCTGACTCATTTAGCTTCGGACTGGTCATTTGCCGACACGCCCACTGAATTGATTGACAGGTCGCGTCGTGGATCCGACTTGTGGGGGGAAAAAATATTAAAGACAGCTGTTGAAACAAAAAGTATTTATTTTTTAGACTTTATTCTCATAATATTAAGACTTTATTTGACTTTATTCTTGTACTGTAGTTCTACAACTTTATTCTCGTAATTTTATGACTTTTTTTTATCATGGCCCTAAAGCTCTGTCATAATAGGTCAATCTGCATATGTATTTATGTATGTATGTATGTATGCATGTATGTAGTATGTATGTACCTCAGCTTTATAACTCGAACCCCACACTTCCTGTTCTTTGAATTGAGAAAGCTTCTCGTATGAGAAGCGAAACATCTTCTGTTACAAATAAAGTCCAGTTGTTTTTGTCTTGAAGTTTTTTGAATTTACTCAACATTACAGCAAGTAGTGCTGCAAAGTTTTCTAGTTCAAGATCAAAGAAAAGCTCATTTCAGTGAAATTATTCACCGATCTAACATTGTCTTGTTACTTTTTTCTGTTTCAGGGCGGTGACATCACCAACAGTGACGGCACAGGTGGCAAGTCCATCTACGGCGGCATGTTTGAAGATGAAAACTTTGATGTTCAGCACACGGGCCCGGGCATCCTGTCGATGGCTAATCGTGGACGGGACACCAACAACTCGCAGTTTTTCATAACCCTGAAGAAAGCTGAACATCTGGACTTCAAACACGTTGCGTTTGGCTGGGTTCGGGACGGTATGGATGTAGTACAGAAGATGGGACAGCTGGGCACAAAGGGAGGCCCTCCCACAAAGAGGCTGGTCATCACAGACTGTGGACAGCTGTAATTCTTAGGGTTTACAACTTAGTTTAGATTAAATTAAAGGTGAAGAGTTGGAGTAACTGTGTTCCCTGTGCAGTACACATCCTCCTCCTGAAATAAAATCTTTAGTTGTTTTGCTCTGATCATATGGCTGCAGGTCCCCCATCAGTGAAATGTGTCCTATAAAATGGAATTGGGAAACAGCGTGGCAATCTCCATGGGAGACTTTTAGAGCAAATGCTACTTTTGCTTGCATTTTTATCTTTAGTTTACTTTGTGTGTATATTTGTACATGGATTTAATATTTTTTTTTGTTATTTTGCTTGTACTCCCTTTAAATGCACCCATCCTCTTTATAAGACCCACCTTATTTTCTTTTTAAATGAGTCTTAATATAGTTAAAAAGCAATCCTGTTCATTTGATTACACATACTGCTTTGTAACTACACCCCTACCTTTTGTTTATTTTTTTACTGTAGGACTTCTCGTTTTTCCCCTGTACCTTGATTTCACAGTGCCGGTAACTGGACTTAATAATTGACCACATGGACCGATTTCTTCCCCCCCACACACACGGTATTGCTGTTTGAAAGAGGATACATTTGGTTTTACAAAGAGGATTCATTTCATGTATAGATTGAGATTGTCACTGTTAAAGTTAATTTGGTACTTGTACCAAAACATGTTAATAATCAAGAAATAAAATTGCTTGACATTAAATGTGGTAGGTTTTTTTTGTTTGTTTTTATCGCACATTCTAGGTTGCAGTGGCCAAAACCTAGTAACATGAAATGCTGTCAGAACCTTACTCTTGAATACTTCACTGTGATTAAAATTGAAAGCAATAAATGTATTTTATTCTTTAACAACCACATGGTCTTAGTTTGATTTTGCACAGTTCCAAGATTTTCAGGCATTCACTAAATGTTTACTAGTGTTTGGACAAGCTGCAACAAAACTGAACATAAAGTAGAATAAAAATGTGCACTCGTTTATTCACTTGAGTTTATCCTGCAAATTTATCTGAGCAAACATTAATACACCATTTTACTCACAATTTAATCTCATCCTTTTCCCCAAAAAAAACCCGAATTTATTCTTGATTTTTGGCATTTCAAATTTAATAAACAGTTCAGTTGTCAAAAAGGCTTTTTTAAAAATACAGGTCATGTAAAAAATTAAAATTACATAAATACCAGTAAATGCGTAATGAACGGATATCGTATGTTTATTTTTTTCCTTTATTTTATGCGACAGTTTCTGCTGCAGTACTACTTTTGGCCACAGCGGCAGCAGAGAGCAGACACGCGGGCGACTCACGATGACGTCATCCGGACGTAAAATGCGGCGTCTCGCGGCCTCCTCGGTCTTTTTTCCTCTGCCGTGCTGTTAGGGCGGTTGGCCTGCTCTCTGTCTCGGGAAGATTTAACACCTAAGCAGCAAAATGATCATCTACAAGTGCCTCATCAGCAGTAAGCAGTCTATTTTGGAGGGGGTTTTTACGTGTCTGAGCAGAGTTGACGTCGCTAAGCCGGTTTTGTTCGCTGTTTTTAGGGCAGAGTTAGCCAAAGTAGCAGCAGGCTAACTCGTGTTTATGGTGGTTGAGAAGTTAGCGCTGATTCTTCTGAGGGTTAGCCACATGCTAGCATGTTCTCATGCCGCGTTTAGCTTTAATCACATGCAACTTTATAAAAAGTTATGTTAAAGCTTTAAAGAATCGTGTGTCAAACTGTTTGCTGGTCAACTGAACCTTGGACCGTGTCGCACACATTTATTTTAAATGATTGTGGCCTCTCAATCGATGTAGCTGTGAGCTGCCAACAGATTTTTCTTCCTTTTTAAAGTTTAAATTGTCATACGGCTCCGTCTTCTGTGGCTAATCTCAACATTAGACATGAAGATTGAGTTAATAATTTGCTACCCAGTTACACTCCGTTTACACGACCTGTTATTTGATTTCGGGCACACCCAGATGAAGTTTTTGTCTTGGTTTTTTGTTCCTGCAGACGATGAGATGTTCTCCGACACCTTCAAAGTTAAAGAGTCAGAAAGTGGCATTTTCTACGAAGTTGAAGGCAAGGTAATAAACTCCACTGTCCTAATTATTAGATTAATTAATCGAATAGATTCACCTCTGGGCATGGTAAACTTCTAATGACTTGACTAACAAAGCTAAAGCATCTCCTGCTTTAACTGAATTGACATTTCTATTTTAAGCAGCTACTTTTAAAGCGTGATGTAAACATCCCTATTTCAGGGTGTGTCTCAAGAGACTCATTCAACATTGTGAAAACCAAAATGAATACTTAACCAGCAGCTTACAATAAAGTTTTTTGTCTAAATGTTCTATTTTTTTTTTTGTCGCATGAAGACCGTCACCAGGACAGAAGGGTTTGATGACGCTTTAATATCGGCCAATGCCTCTGCCGAAGAAGCCATCGAGTCCAACGAGTCGGCCTCGGTCTCCGGAGTGGACATCATCCTCAACCACAAGCTGCAGGAGACGGGCTTTGACAAGAAGCAGTACATAGCTTACGTCAAAGACTACGTTAAAGCGTGAGTATCTCACAAGGGTTGACCTGTTCGTGTTGTGAATTTAGTAGTTTCGATATGACGAGTGGTGACGAATAATCCCTCTGCTTATCCAGCATCAAGGCCAAGCTGCAAGAGACCAACCCCAACAGAGTGGACAGCTTCATGACTGAAGTCCAACCAGAAGTTAAGAGGATCATTGGAAACATCAAGAACTACCAGGTACTTCAAGATAATTCAACTTGTGAATAGTGGGGTTCATTTATGTAAAGTAACTGGTAAAGGTTGTTGCAAAGTATTTAACCACTTTTTTTTTTTTTTTTTTAAGGTGTCGGTTATACTACATGTTTTTAAACACTCTTAAATAAAGTATGGAAGAATTAAAAATACATTTTCTTCTGGAGAATTTCCCTTTTGTTCCAGTATTATTGTGCAGCTGTTCACTAGAGGGCGCTCGTTCTCCGCAGCTTTAACTCCCAGCTGCTGAAAGCATCTCGATGACTGACATTTGTTGTGCTCTTTCTCCTTCAGTTTTTCACAGGAGAGTCCATGAACCCTGAGGGCATGGTGGGTCTGCTGGACTACCGTGAGGATGGCATCACACCATACATGCTTTTCTTCAAGGACGGTCTGCTGGTTGAGAAATGTGTAAGTAACTGTGGCTTTGAGCGGAAAAACTTTTGTTTTTAGGATGGAGCTGAAAGTTGTATTTTTGTTACAGTAACTTGGATCAACATCTGCTGTTCATTTGACTGCTGCTTCCCAAAACAACCCTGAGGGAGACCTGCTCTGCATCATGTCTGAACGAATACTGTCCTGTCCACACTGTGGCCTGTTACACAACTGAGGAAACTGTCATTTGGTCACTCAATAGTTTTTAACTTTTTTTTTCGTCTTTTGCCGTTTTGTTTTTTCTTTTGGGCCAGTCAGTGTTCATAATGAAAACGAAAAGGCAGGACGGGAATCGAACCTGTGACTCCGGCTGCTGCAAAGTATTTTTTTTTGCGTTTGCATACCATTTTAGCAACACAAATTATACAGTTGAACATCCCCAACCACCTTCATGCTCGGGTTCATGGTTGCAATAAATGAGTCCATCTCCAGTGCAAAGACTTTTGGTTCAATTTGAAAATAAAGTGTCTACTTTAAAGTTGCTTTTAGTTTTTTATTAGCTTTTATTGTGGGCATCTTGGCTAAACTAATATGCAGCTGCCTAAAGTTTAGTCTTTCCTAAAGAAATAGATTCTCAGCTTTTTAAAAACAAAGCGTCTACTTTATGGGTAGAGTTGAACAATTTCTCAGTAAATTGAGTTTGCAGCAAAAATGAAGAATGGATCTGCAGGAAGTCTAGGAAGTAGTTTTCATACTTGTCTGCTGCAGCTTTTGGTTTTGTAATTTTATTTTTCTCTAACCTGGTATATTGTATTGATCATAGATCTCAGTTGCAGGGGAGGTTTGGGCCTTGCATGATTAGTTGTTTTTTTTTTTTTGTTGAAGGAAACTGCAGTTTTATTTACATATTTTAAGTCTCAGTACAACTCTGCAGGGGAACTAGATGTGGAGTTTAAAAAAATCATTGAAAAAGTTATTTAAATTTAATACACTGAGCACTAGACATGCATTTAGTTTTGATTGTGGATATAAATCTTCAAATGAGCAGAGTCGAGGTGGGTCTCAGACCCATAAGTAGATTACCACAGTAAACGGAGTCGGGTAAAGTTTCACTGATGTTTTAAAAAAAACTGAAAACGTGCATCCTGACCCTGGTGCAGTCAGCTGATGGTTTTTGCTGACTACAGTAATTAAACTGACCAGGACTAAAAGCCTCCAAATTCGATCCATGCGTTTCTGCAGGAGGCCGCCTCAGCATCGAGGGCTGATCACAGACCAGCAGCAACTGTGACAAGTTGTAGATCATTTATTTAGACAAGAGTTCACCTTGGAAAATATATTCAAAGGATAAATAGTTCTGATGTGGAGCACAGTATTAATTGGCGAAACAGTTAAGACTTGTCTTGTGTCCAGACGGCACAAGTCTGCAGCTCGATGTGCTTACAGACAAGACTTTGTGTTTAAAATGTTCAAAGTTTAAATTTGGAGCAGTGAAATAAATGAAGGCAAAGACCACAGATGGTTTAGTTTAACTTTAATTTATTCAACATGAGGCTGTGAGCAGCGTTCACCTACATTTCTACAGGATGTTTTCTATTCAGTCATGACGGCTAAGTGGTAGTTTCGAGCAGTCCCACCGTCGTTTAATTAAACTTCTGCAGAGACCTGTCAATCATCCATTCAAAGCAGGGAAATAAACTAAAACATGCAGGATGGTGTCCCTCAAGGACCAGGGTTGGGAACCACTGGTTTATATCTTGTGAATCATGACATGGATTTTAAAGTAATTCATGGATGCAAATCTATAACTGCTTGGAATCAAGCCAATTCAAGATGGCCACCACAGCCAAGGAAAGCAAAGGGGAAAAAAATGACTAAACCAGCCAATTTTACAGACGACTTTTAAAATAATTAATATGGTAGCTGAGCATCCAAACTGTTCTCAGCAGAAGATTTTAGACAAACTGGTATGAGAGGCAGTGGGTGAAATGCATTCAAGTCAATGCCACGACTTCTTACGCTTTTTAAACTTCTCGTCCCTTATTGCTCATTTCCTCGTTAATTTCAAAGCTAATTATCCGGATGAATGAACGGATCCTGAGCTTGATCTCCTCCTAATCAGGTGTTTGCCATTTGACTGCTCCGCACCCGCTGGCACGCATCACACGGCCGCACGCAGCAGCAGCGGGTTTCTGCCCCGTGCAGCTCATTGTAAATATAGTTTAAAGCTGTTGCCATGGTTACACAGTCTGAGGGATGAACCGTGACTGCAAGCTTGTTTCCAGACACTTTAATCTTTGTTTTTCCTCTGATTTATAGCCACCTTTTAAGATTTAAACTCCAAGTGGTGGCTGTTTCTCAGAGCTGCAGCATCAGGAGGGAAGAGCTTTTTTCCACTTTCATCTTTTTCACAGCAGACGTTTTCATGTCAAACACCGGTGCGACTAATTTTGTGATTAAATCCAGCACAAATTGGCAGGAAGTGCTGGAACAGAGCTGCTGTTTTTATTTGCCATCAGCTCCGAGTGTGTGTCGTCTGCTTTTGGAAAAATAAATACCCGTCTGACTGAAAATGGACCTCTGCAGGAAAATGAAGGATAAAGTGTTGTTGCTCATTTCCAACAGATTTAATCCTGAAAAGCAGACTTTACATTTGCTACATGTTTTACAAACAATTCAGAATGCGTCAATCTGAACTTAAATTTTGTAACGATAAACATAAAAATATAAGATGCACACGATGAAGCGGGGAACCTTTCCTGGTTCTAGGCGTTCTGCGGTTCCTCCTCTTCGTCAGCAGGTTGGTAGTGGCGGTACTCCGGCTTCAGCTCCCACGTGCTTTTGTGAGCTCCTTTACGACTGCAGACACAGATCTCCCTCATGATGTCTTTCAGGTAGGACTGCAGGGACACGAGGACATCTGAACTGATGACACAAAGTTATGGATTCCTTTTCTCGTGCAGTGGAGGTCAGAGGGAATGAAACTACTGAAAAATCAAAAACTTGACACTTTGACTAACGTCAGACAAACATACTTAAAGAACCAGCCTTTATAATAGTGTGAACGTTTATGAAGCATTCGCTCCGCTGTGATCCTTTTTTTCTTCTGTACATTTTTCATTAAAAAAAATAAATCATAAATCATAAATCAAAACGTTCAATTTTTTCAGGACAGTCCTGCTAAGGTTTTTGATATTGGTGGAACTTTAGCTTTTTTAAATATTTGACCTTTTTATTTCTCATAGAAAATTAATTGAGCTCATTTTACATCCTTCAAGTCTTTAGATGTGTTTACAAGCTTTTACTGCTCCTTTCACATTTTGTTCTGCTTCAGCTTCTTTCAGCTTCCTTGTGCAAATTTAAACTTTTTTTTTTAGCTACTTTCAGCTGTTTTGTGCTCCTTTCAGTCTTTGTGCTAACTTAAACATTTTTGTGTTTCTTACTTCTTCATTCTAATTTCAGCTTGCTCCTTTCAGCTTATTTTAGCAAATTTCAGCTGTTTCTGCCATTTCAGTTAATATTTGATCTGTTTTTATGTTAATTTTAGCTTTTCGAGCACCACTTTTTATTTTGCACTCATTTCCACTTTTTTCAGCCTGATTCAGCAAATTTGTGCTTTCTCCACTTCCTTCTGGTAATTTTAGCTAATTTTCAGCTGTTTTTTTATTTATTTTCTAATTTCAGTATCTTTCAGATAATTTCCACTTTTTTGTGCTAATTTATGCTTCTTTCAGCCCAGTTGGTCAAACGTGTTTCTGCTTATGCTAATTTAAGCTTGTTTTATCTTTTCAGCTACTTTAGCATTTTTTTAGCTAATTTCAGCTGTTGTCAGATAAATTCAAGTTTTTCATGCTAATTGTTGCTACTTTCAACCTAATTCACCATCATCTTCTTCATTATACTAATTTCAGTTAGTTATGCTCCTTTCAGCTTTTTCTGCTAGTTCAGCTACTATTTGGCTGTTATGCTAATTTTAACTTTTTTTTTTTTTTTAGCCAATTCCACATTTTTTAGCTAATTTCAGCTCTTTCTGCTTCCTTTTGGTAGTTTAAGCTTATTTCTGCCTTTTTGGATACGTTTCAGCTATTTGTAGCTAATTTCAGCCCTTTTTTTTAGCTAATTTCTTAATTTTTGTGCTCAGTGCTGTTTACCCATACCTAAATATAGGGGAAACTACCGTCTGTCAAATGTGTTTGTTTCAAAACGTAGATGTTGATTTGAGTAAAATATCCTCAGTTCTTGCAGAACGTTTGTTTAATGCTGCATCGGTTTTACCTCGGAAGTCTAATTTAGAAATGATGTCTACATCCAACATCAAATGTTTTCAGTTGCGAGTCAGATTTTTAATAGTAATACATTTTTACAGCAGCAACATGTTTTCCAACAGAAGTAAATCTGTGTGCGCAACTTGTTTATTGAGTGAAAATAAAAAGATTATTCTTGCAGCGTTCACTGCTTTTGATATGCACAGCAGCCATGTTGAATTTTGTGATGAAGGTTGGTCAGAAATCCAAATGGTCCGAGTCAAAGTTCAGACTTGAGGAGGCATTCCAATTGATTTTTACGACTTGGAGCTTGGAAAAGTCAAACGTGTTTGTTTACCTACAGATACAGTGACTGAAAACAGGTCAACAAAGGAGGAGCCGTTTGGGACGGAGACGTCTGATCATTTTGACCTTCAGGTACATATTTAAGCTCAGATTTATTGGAGAAGTCTGATAATTTTGACTTTTTTGTACATATTTATGCTCAGAATCATTAAGTAATGTGTGCAGTTTAAAGTGCTTTGTTTACATTGAGTGTGTTCCTGCATTTTAGATTTGCATATCAACATATCTGGAAAACTGGAGTAAACTTTGTCAAACTGCAGCTATGGTGTAGCTCAGGATCATGTATTTTATTGTTGATTTCATACGTTGCACTGAGTGCTTTTAAAAAGAAAAGTAAGTAAATAATGTTGAAATACCTCTATGTCTTAAAGTAAACCGTTCAAACACCATAAAATCATAAAATTGGAAATTTGATAAACTTATAAATAAAACTTATACAGATATTAGTTAATTTGTTCATTACAATCACACTAAAACTGGAGTTTTCACAGAGACATCGTGTCTTTAACAATACATCCTCTGAATCTGAATAATAATCCCCGAGTGACTCAAAAAACATTAGAAGAACAATATTCATGTGTTGCTTTCTATATATTGTCATACATGTGTTAGGTCAGGGCAGTCTATAGGCTTTATTTAGGCTTTTATTTTATTCTATTCCATCTTCATTAGTGTGGTCTAATCACCAAATGTGTGCAAACCACATATTTAGGAATGGTTTCGGATTAATTTCTTAATCTGTTATCCGGAGATGTTTAATTAGCTTCAGATGGATTCATTTTAATACGAGTTAATATGATGATCCACATAGCATCTTAAACCTCACATAAATATATTATAAATGCTGTTAATGTCTAAAAAGGAGCAGAAACTGTGAAAAGCCTTGAGCCGCAGTACCACAAAGTGACCACGGAGTGTCTCTGTTGAGCCGAGGTCACTCCACTTGATGAATAACAAAAGATGTGCTTCAAAACTTCTCATAATGGACATTTTGCTTACTTCAGTTCAGTTAATTTGAGTGTTGGCCGAGTGCTTCGAGAGAGGAGTGGTGGTGTGGAGTGTATCGGGGCGTTTGACTCCTACTCAGCTGATGGTTATGCAATCAGAAGCAATCAGAGGGAGAAGGACCTGGAGGTCTACTCTGCACCTACACAATGCTGTTCGCTGAGAGCTGGAACCAATCCAGCGGGCTACATCGATTCCTCCCGCGTGCGTCTGCGTGCACGCGCGAGCATGCCAGCTCAAATTTTAAGCCACAACAGATAGCGTGAGCAGAGGCACAGACGTCAAGCTGTGGGCGACTTGTTCAAATTTAACAAAGCAAGGTGGATGGTGGGCAGGTGTGTTGTTGTTTTTGGTCTTTCCACTTATATCATTAAGTGTTTGTGTTGGATGTTTTCACACCGAGTGTGTTTCTGCTCACCACAGGTTGTTTGGTGATGTCCACCAGGTCCTTGAAGCTGTAAAACTGGTGCTTCTCGAAGGCAGAGAAGAGCATGTCCAGCACCACCTGCCGCTCCGCTCTCACCATCTTCCCCTCGGACTTCTTCTTCTTCTCGAACGCCACCTTCACAATCACAAATTACCGACACCAAACACAGAAACCACAGCTGAGGTTCTGAGGAACTGACTGTCAAACCAACAGGTGGAAAACACGCAGGTAAACTCTCACTTTGGTTCGTTTCCTTCTGACACAAAGACAAACAAGAAACAAAAACATTGTCACAGAACATACAAGTTAATGCTGAAGCTGAAGGAGTTTGATGAAACTGACTGAATTATTAAAGTTAAAACAATAAGAACAAAAGCTAAAACCAGCAAAAATAGTATCTAAAAGCTAAAGAGAGCTCAACTAAAGGCTAAAACTATCAAACAGTGGCTAAAATATTAAATTGGTTCAAATTTAAGCCATGGTAAAACCAGCAGGACAATATCTAAAAGCTAAATATGTAAAATACTAGCCAAAGGCTAACACCAGTAACAATAGCTAAAAGCTATCAGCAAAACAGTATATAAAAGCTAAAGCAAGCTCAACTCTACCCAAAGACTAACACTAGCCAAAATAAATAAAATAAAAGCTAAAACCAGCAAAAAAAGTATCTAAAAACTAAAATAAGCTAAACTAAAAGCCAAAACTAGTAAAACAGTTGCTAAAATATTAAATTAGTTCAGATTTAAGCAATAGTAAAACCAGCAGCAGGCTAAAATAAGCAAAACACTAGCCAAAGGCCAACACCAGTAACAATAGCTAAAAGCTACCAGCAAAACAGTATATAAAAGCTAAAGCAAGTTCAACTCTACCCAAAGGCTAACACTAGCAAAACAAATAACAACAAAAAAGCTAAAACCAGCAAAAATGGTATCTAAAAGCTAAAATATGTTAACTAAAAGCTAAAACTAGCAAAGCAGTTGCTAAAATATTAAATTTGTTCAGATTTAAGCAATGGTTAAAACCAGTATATAAAAGCTAAAGTAAGCTCAACTCTACGCAAAGCAAAAAAACAAAAAAAAAGTTTATAGCTAAAACCAGCAAAAATGCTATCTAAAAGCTAAAATATGTTAACTAAAAGCTAAAGCTAGCAAAACAGTTGCTAAAATATTAAATTTGTTCAGATGTAAGCAATGATAAAACCAGCAGGATAGTATTTAAAATCTAAAATAAGCAAAACGCTAGAGAAAAGCTAATACCAGTTATTTAGCTAAAAGCTAAAACCAGCAAAACAGTATATAAAAGCCAAAGTAAGCTCAACTGTACCCAATGGCTAACACTAGCAAAAAAAAAAAAAAAAAAAAAAAAAAAAAAAATTAAAAGCTATAACCAGTAAAACAGCAGGTAAAAGCTAAATTTAGCAAAACATAAAAAGCTGAAACTAACAATGGTATCTAAAATTAGCTAAAGTGTAGCCTAAGACTAAAGTAAATCTTTTGACTGCTTCTTTCTGCAGGGGTTGCCACAGCTAGCAAACACAGATTGTTTTACACCAGTTGTCCTTCCTGACACCACGTGGGCTCAAACCTGCAGCTTCAGGATTATGAAACTGTGGCACTGACCACCAAGCTACCGCGGTTGTTTTTGCACTGCAGTCTGAGCTCATCCCATTTTACTAACACTAATTTTATATATATATTCTGTTGAAGTTGTTAAACCTCATTGTTCATGAATGTAAAATACAGAGACGTCTATATTTATATATTTATAAGTCAAGTTGAAATATTGAGGTATTCGTCACTTTTTAAAATAGAAATCTAAAGTTCATCCATGAAACAAACTCCTCACTGGAGGAACTGGCGATCCCACCAAACTTTAAAAACAGCTGACACAGTCTCTCCAGAGGCTCGTTTCTACTTACGTTGAAGTTGTGGTTGGCCACAGGCTTAAAGACGGTGGTCACAGCTCTGTCCAGCTGCTGCGACAAACGCTGAGGCTTCACCAATTCAATCTGCAGCCTGACACATACACAGAAAATAAATAAAGTGAGAATGTTTGTGTGAAAAAGTTGATCTCAGAGCTGACACGAGCCTGTTGGCAGGAAGGCGACTGTCAGCACCTTCAGGTTTAAATCACCAAACAGGAAATGACAGCTCCTCTCAGTTTTTGTCTCCATTTTATTTAGACTGGAATAAAAGTCCTCCCGATATGTCAACACTCACAGGATCTTTGCTTTATACGAGATGGGAACACATACAGCATCATATAATAAAAAGAAAACACAAACCGCCTTAAAAACAGATGTTTTCAAAGCACTGACCCTTATTAATATTAACTACGTAGTGCAAAAATACATTTAAACATGCGGCTGGAGTAGATATGACTTCTGTTAGCAGTGCATCGGTCAACGTGGACTAAATTTGGGAAAACATTGCAAGAGCAAAATCTAACGAGGTGTTTGTTTACCCTGCGGAGCGGGGCCGGTCTGTTTACATTCACACTGTACTCGAACCGCGCTGGAGTTCGCTTCTACCGGACTGAGACCTAGGTTTTAGCCCGGGCCAGAGCTCGCCTTTTTGTTCCGTGACAGAGTTTGATGGCGCGTTCACACCTCCCTAAACGAACCGGACTTTCTAGGAAAACGAGCTAGAGTCCGATTAAAGCGGACTAAACAGGGCTGGTGTGAATGCACCCTTAGAGAGGTCATGAGAGCTTCAGATCCTTTTGTAAGATATTCCAGGAAACAGGAGCTGAGTAGGAGAAGGCCCTTTTGCCAAGTTCAGTCCTCACTGAGGGAACACTGCAGGTAATAATGTCCTTAGAGCGCACGCTGTAGCTGCACTCACGCAGTGACATGTAGGAGAAGATGTATGAAGGCAGCAGACCAAGAAGTGATTTAAAGATGAAAATGTACCAGTGAGAGAGTCTGCGTGAAGTTAATGATGTCCAGTTAACCAGTGAATACTGGGTGCAGTGGTGGATACGATAATCACAGCCAGTTATGAATCTTAGTGCACCATGATAGACAGCATCCAACATCTGCAGGGTGCTTGTAGGAGCGTTCATGTAAGTAATGTCACTGTAGTCAATGAAGGGAAGGAAAGTCGCAGTGACAAGATGTTTCCTAGCATTCAGAGTTAGACAGGATCTGTTTCTGAAGAAGAAACTCAATTTAACTTTCAGTTTCCTTACCGAGTTTTACCAAGTTTTCCACGGGGGGCTTTAAATAGAGATGCGAATCGACCAAGATACCCAAATATTTGTAGGAATCAACAAACTCAATAGGAGCACCATTTGAGGATAAAATCAAAGGAAGAACCGCTGGAACCGACTTCCTGTTTGAAAACAACATCCCTTTGGCTTTGTCGGCATTTAGGACAAGTTTGAGATGGAACCAATCTGACTGGATGATGTCGAAAGCGGATTGTAAAATCTGGAAAACCTTAGCAACTGTTTTAGCTCGACAATAAACAACTGTGTCATCAGCGTAGAAATGCAAGGATGCAAGGACCTACATTATTTATGTAGATTGTTAAGAGGTTTGGTCCTAAGACTGAGCCTTGTGGTACACCATTGTAACATTTCAATAACTGGAAGAAGTACCATTATGTTGAACACATTGCCTCCGATCTGAGAGATAGTTAGTGAACTAACCAATGGTGTGAACTGAGAAACCAATTTCTGAGAGCTTATGACACAAGATGTTATGATCCACAGTGTCAACAACTTTAGACAGGTCTAAGCAAAGTGCAGCACAATAATCCTTAGCATCCAGTGCTTCAACGATTTCATTAAAAACCTTGAGCGAAGCAGTCATGCTGTGTTGTTTCCTGAAACCAGATTGATGGGGAGGTAAGATATAGCATCTGGCCTATTTTAGCAGTTAGTGATTATTTTTGTTTGATTGCTAAGAACTAAGTTTCAGTTTTTTAAGCTACATTCATGAAAAACATTCAGCCTTTGGCTCTTACGCCACATTTTCATGGAAAATGTAGGTGTTTTTTTTTTTTTTATGTTTTCAGTCTGTTTCGTTCTGTAGCTCATACACTTGGCAGCCAGGGAGTGAGAGACACAGGTTAGTGGTTACCATGGCAACCACAGTGAGCCGCTGGCAGCAGCTTCAACGTTTCTCTTGACCTCGTTTCTCTCAGCACTTCTCATCCATTTCGGCCTTTTGGGCAGCAGCTGCGTTAGCGCCTTTTAGCGTTTCTTCAGAAATCTTCTGGTTTTCTCATTATTGTGTGAAAGATGTGAAAATGTTTGGCGAGTTTTCTTCCTCCTCACACCGACACCAACACAACGTGACGTCCTTTTATCTCTGAGCTCACAACAGTTAAACAACGAGAGTCTTGTGAGCTCGAGCTTGAACTCGGACGCGTTTGAAACTGGTGAGGAGGATCTCAGCCAGATGTTGGCCACAGATAATCTCCTGCGGAGCGGATGACAAAACACGGGCCACACTCCCATCCTTGAAGTCCTCCCCTACGGTGTGTGTGTGTGTGTGTGTGTGTGTGCGTGCATGTGTGACACCCTGGTACGAGCTGTGCGTTTGCCTCGGGGTGTATTGTAGCAGTGCATCTGCCACAGAGATGCTGTTGCTATAGCAATACCATCCACCAACTCTGGCTGGAATAACATTTTCCAATGAAGAAGAGACAAAAAAAAACTGTTAAAAAAATGAATAAAGGGCAGAGTGGACTCGAGTGTTCGGTTTGCACAGATGAACGACTTCTCTCCCCTTCGTTTAATCAGTTCACGTCACGAACAGATTTTCATCGGTTTAGCTGAACTTAAAGCTGCTTTTTGACACAAGCAACTTGATTTTTGTTCGTTGTCACTGCTGAAAAGTGACCGGGACGATATTGTTATCATCTGTGTATGTGATTGGGTCTGTTAGCAAAATATCTGCTGAACCACTGGACACATTTGAATAAAATTTGCAGGAAGTATTCACTTAATGAATATCTACAATTGTTTCATTTTTGGAGTCAACTTGATTTAAGATGGCCACCACAGCTAATCAAACTTGTCAAACACAAAATTGGCTGTAACACAGTCAGTGTTGCAGATGTTCAGCTAAAATTTGGTGTGTTAGTTGCTGAGACTGATCTCCAATAGAAGCTATAAGCATTACTAATTAATGTAAAATCTATGTTTAAAACTTTGGCACACAAGGCAGCAGACAATATGCATTGATTTAAGACATCTACTTTTATTTTAACAGTTTTCAACCTTCAAAACAATAAAGGGTTATAATTAAAAGCCTTTAAAAACATGTTAAAGCCTCAATTAAAATATTCCTTCTGTAATCAACTTTTCATTTATTTTAAAGCTTTTTTGGTAAAGAAAGAGAATTAAATGATTTGAAAACGATCGCTGTGTTTGTGTATGGTTGAAGAAGTGTCTGTTTATTTTTTGGAAAGTAAAGTTTAAAAGGTTGTGATACAGATGTGCTTAACCTCTAAAATATGGCAAAGGAAAATTAAATAAATACATTTGTTTTTATTGTTTATCGACTCTTCCGTGTTTCATCGTTGATCTTATGAAATCATCTTTGATGATTTTAAATAAAGTGTGTGGATGATGAAACTTTCAGGCAGAACCTCAGAGTTTTCTCACCTTTTAATCTTCATGTAGCTCTCAGAGGCGACAGGTCGGCACTCAGCCCTCTGCACCACCGTCCCCTCCAGGCTGACTTCACCTACAACAAACACAGTGACTCAGCTGCTGCATCATGATTACACACACTCTCTCACACACACACTCTCTCTCACACACACACACACACAGTCTAGGACGTCCTCTTCCTCTGCTTTGTTTGCTTGTTGCACACCATGAAAAGTGGACAATCATATACCGTATTTTCTGGCGTATAAGTCGCAGTTTTTTGCATAGATTTGCCAATCCTGCAACTTATACTCCAAAGTGACTTATATACATTTTTTTTTCCATATTCATGACGCAATTTTTGACTGAAGCTTTAAATGTTCATTCATACTGACATGAACCAGAGTAAACATTACCTTTTGCAGCCACTAGAGGCGCCAGAAGGCCCTCTAGGCTTTTGACAACTACCCGTAGGCGTATGTGTTGTTCCTGTCACTATCCTCGCCGCCCCGCCAAACATTGACCATTAAAGTGCATTTACTAGGAAATAAGTTAAACTGAGACACACTTTTGTGTACTTTTTTCTTGTGCACGCTCCAATCGAATTTTGGCACGACACCGGCCCACGTTTCCCGGGTGTCAGCAGTGACGCATAATAAATGTGACATATACTCTGAAGCAACTTATATATGTTTTTTCTCCTCTTCATGATGCTTTTTTTTTTTTGACTGATGTGACTTATACACTGGAAAATACGGTAGTTGCCTGCATGGGTTCCTGTATCTGTTAGCAAAATAGCTTATAAACAACTGGACGGACTGTAATGAAGTAACCTAATCCTAGCACTAATAGATTGCTCAAGATCTTTATTTAAAACTTTAAAATTTCTCAAGTCAGCAGTAGATGGGCATCTTCATGCAGTGTTTTAGAGATCCGTCTTTTACCTCCAGGCTGTTTTAAGAAAAAGAAAACTCTCAGAGAAGCAAATATTTTATTATTCTTTTTAATAATAAAAAAAAGTGACAATGCATCATAAATGTCTTCAAACAGGCAACCAGTGAAGGCTTATTCATTTGAATACATCAAACTGGACAGTTAATCCCACCATTAAACCTCATTTCCACAGAAGTTTGAACGTTGGAGGAAAAAAACATCTACAATGAAAAAAATGTTCAAATTATGACATAACTGAAGTCTCACCTTGTTATAAACATGTACCGTTTCCCAGTAATTGTCCCTTTATGAATGTTTAATTAATGCTTTATGTTCAGGTTATTCACAAACACTTTATAAAGCATGAACAATCTTTTACAAAACAGTTATAAAACTGAAGCAGGCTCACTATTTGACAAATCTAAGCACGTTTTAATCATTTCTTTATGATTTAGATTTTAAATATCAATTTACCACTCAACATTGGTATATACAAAAGGTGTTTTTGCAGCATAAAAAGTAATTTAGTTGAAAAATAAGCTGCATTTACAAACTCGTGAATAGACTATTTTTAAAGCGTGAGTCAATCCTTTATGAAGGGGCCCTCGGAGTTGTACGTATAAATGTTATGACAGAAAAGGATATAAAAACAGGAGAAAAACGAGGACAGATGGTGAATTATTTGTGTTTAATTTAAAACTGCACATGGTTTTCAGTGTTAGAAAATGACAGCAAACAATCTGTTGTTTCATGGCAAAAAGATAAATTTTAGTTTTTTCTCTTGAACCAACTCAACAATTCAAAATGAGCTCCGTTATCTGACATTTAGTGACATTTCCAAATCACCGCTGAAAAATAAACACTTTTCAAGCCGCACTTTTGTAACGTGCTTTAGCTGATTATTCAGCCCACAAGGTTTTTTTTTATTTATTTTTTTTTATTCCTGAACCTTTTGATACCTCTTCTGATCCTCTTCAATCATCATTGTGGCCATTTTCGTTTTCTCTTTTCAAATCGAATGTCCAGGAACTGGTGGAGTCCAGTTGGCGAGCGTTGGCGTTCTGTTTGGCAGCAGCTCAGTCTTTCGTGCATTGTTGTATGATCTGGCATCGTTTGGATCTGGACACACAAAGCTCCTCTAACGTTTCAGATCCCTCGTGTCAGAGAAAGTGACAGGGATGCTAAAAGGGCAAACAGAGAGCGAGTCGACAGGAGGCTGAACCAGCACCACAGGGGAGACAAACCGCCTGTTTAATTTATTTTACCGCTCTGATCTTCATCCTCCTCTTCACCCTTGATTCCCTTTGCTCTTTACTTCTTTTGTCTTAGATCCTCCCAGTTAAAAATGTGTGGGAGGGAAAGCAAAGATCCAGTGAGCCAAGACCCTTCTCCTGGATCACGGCAGAAGCCCAGCAGGATCAGCTCTGAGGTCTTGTTTGTTGCCTGGATGAGAGGCTGTTTGGTCCAAAATACAACAAGAAGGAATATCACCACTGCCTGGGCACTTCTTGCCAAACAGATGTACTCCCACATGTCGACACGGAGTAAAATAAATATCTGGGCTCCTAAAAGCATCATCGCATACACTAGCTCATGGTTTCCACCACAGAGGGGAGAGCAAAAATGTCACCTTGTTAACCTAACAAGGTTGAGTCCAGTCCTCTGGACGGATTCTTCTTGTTGAAACATTTTGTCTTTTATCCAAAAGACTTCCATCAGTCTGAGGAGTTGCAACAAACTCATTCTTATAAATAGATCTTCTCGGCGGATCAACCAGTTTGCTGGTGTCAGCTAAAACTAGCTGTTCACATGTGAGGACCACCAACCTAACAATTGATCGTTAGTGCCCAGATGGCCGCTTGCTGTTCACAGGGGGCTCAATGATTATTGCAATAACAGAATTATAACAGGGTGGAAGTTGAACATGGAGGCCTCTACCCCTGTGCAATGATGGATAGTTCTCTTCACAAAGATGGCCTCCTTTACTCCTCTCTCAAACCATCGTTCCTCTCTGTCCAGGATGTGAACATCTTCATCCCTGAACAAATGACCGCTGGCCTGGAGATGAGTGTAGACCGCAGAGTCCTGGCCTGATGATGTTGCTCTTCTGTGCTGGTCCATCCTTTTGGCCATTGACTGTTCAGTCTTACATCAGGGAAACTAATCACCCTCCTGACACTGAACAGCATACACAACATTACTCTGTTTGTGCCAGGGGACTGGATCTTTGGGATGAACCAGTCTTTGCCGTAATGTATTTTGGGGTTTAAAAGCCACTGGGACGTTGTGTTTAAAAAAATAAATGTCTCAGTTTCTCTGATACTCCCTCAACATATGGAATGACCACTGGTCTGGGTTCCTCCTTTTCACCTGATGGCTGACTGGAGTCCTGTTTGAGTTTCTTCTCTGCTTTCAGGAAGACCTAGTTAGGATATCCAAATTTCTCTAGAGCCTGTCTTGTGTGGGATTTCTCCTTCTGCCTGGCTCCTGAGTTACTGGGGATGCTGTCTGCTCTGTGGTACAGAGTTCTGATGACTCCTAACTTGTGCTCCAGTGTGTGATGGGAGTTAAACTGCAAATACTGGTCTGTGTGGGTGGGTTTGCGGTACATCTCAGTTTACAAAGGTCCTCTATCAGAAACTGAGACCTCATAGTCCAAGCAAGCTAACCTTCCATTTTTTTACATCTTCTCATGTGAACTTGATGTATTTATCCACAGAGTTGATGTGGTCAGTAAAATGTTGGACTTCCAGAGATTTAATTTTAATCCAGGTGTCATCAACATACCTGAACAAATGCCTCGGTGGTGGCCTTGAAAAGGACGTCAAGGCTCTCTTTATTTAACTTAACTTGGGTTCACTTGAAATTATGCATAGTGTTGTTTAAAACTCAGAGGGTCATGCAAAGAAAAACAGAATTTGTTGCAAATCAAGGTGACTCTTCTTAAGTTTGTCAAAACCAGTGGTGATGAGGCTGCGCTTTGTTTCTGTGAATCCCACTTATTTGAAGGATAACTCAACAGTGCATGCATTCACTTGTAAGTGTTGGTGAGTAAAAGCAGGAGCAGTGGCCTCGGTCTCCATAGCAACCACGGCGTCACCACCTGACATCACGTGACACAAAAACATTCGGTCGGCTGCCCGTGAGAGTCTCCGAAGGCGATGAACGCTCCGCGGTACACGCCGCTGATCTCACTAGTGCTCATCTTCGCCTTTTCTACAAATGGATGCAATTATGTGCAATTATTGACTGGTGAGTGTCAGAGCCCATAGTTAAAAAAAACAAAAAACAACAACAACAGCAAAAAACACTGCACCCTTCGCCTAAACCCTTGACAGGGCCAAGGACAAGAGAATGCAAAGGTTTGCTTCTCTCACCCCCTACCCCTCGTTTCCCCATTCCAAAGCTCAGATGGACACGTAATGTAAGAAAAAGACTCTTTCCAACCAAACGTTGACGAATGAACGACAGCAAAGAACGGCGGCAGCCAAGTGTAGCTCAAGGCTTCTGTGCGTGGGAGGAACACTTGAGACGAACAGTAGATTGGCTTCAATAAGAAACTCCCGCTTTTTCTTCACTGTTGTGGTCAGCACCTTTAACAGACTCTCCATTTCCTAATTCTCCTACGCACTTCATCATCCAGACTCCATTACTTCCTTAAACTTGTAGAAATTCACTTCATCTCTGTGAGATACCACAAACTCCACCAGTACGAGTCGCTCGTTGTGCAACCAGTGTCCTCCTGGTCTTTACTGCCTCCTGTTTGCATATTTTTGTTAATATTTTACACATGTGATGCAGGTGAAGGAAGCATTTAAAGTGAAGATACAATTTTCCTTTGTGGACAGAAAGAAACAGCTTGGACCCTCCTGCTGTCCTTGGGTCAAAACCACCCATAAGGCCTCCATCTATACACTGAGACCTCATAATTAAAGTAATTAAAGCCAACTGAATTTTCCTTTCCCCTCTTATTGAGTTATTTTTGAGTTTAAGTTAGAATATATATTTAATAAACTACCACAACCTGCATGCATTACCTCATGATGTTCAAACCAGTGCCTCCTCTTCAGTGCCAAAGAATCAAGTGCCTTAAATTAGTGTGTGGTTTGATGTCCTTTACATGCACTTCACTTTTGATTTTAGCTGTAATCACTTTCCCCC